ACCAGAGTGTCTCTGGTACTTCGAATTTACTGTCAGAGACCCAGCTGTGTTACCAGTCTGAACTGCTATGAGAACCAGTTAGGACCTGGAAATCGCGCAGCTGCTCCTGTGCGGTGCAAGGCACAAGGCAGCAGGTGCTGCCGCGCTCAGACTGGCTTCAGGTGGAGGCAACCTGAAGGGCTCCGCGTTGCTCTACTTGGAAGCAAGATGCAGGCACCTCCTTCCCTCTCGTCCTCTGCAGAAACCCTTTTTATCTTCCATAGCATTACTGAAGGATGATCCAGTTTCAGCGTGACTTAAGCCAGCACTGGAATTGACTTTTACTACCAGGAGAAATGAAACAATTTGATGGCCCCAAGAGATGTCCCTCCCCTCAGTGCCCTTTAAAAACAGCTCAGCATGCAAGGCAAGCGAGGCAGTGACGGGTGGGGACTCCAGGCCCCGCTACTTTCAAGCCGAGTGCTGTTCACAGTATTTTTTTTATGAACTAAAACCACTACTGGACAATCAGAAAGTTTCTCCATGCCACTGCAACATCTTACCTAAAGGAAAGGTAGGTAAGGAAGGAAAATACTCTTCTCTCAATATTCCCTATAAGGACCGTTTTCATACTGAATTCTCACTCATATAAATTATCTTGAGTAACGGATGGATTAATTTACAGGTTACTATTTACTAAAGGGACCCAGACAGTGGTTTTGCTCTGTATCTTCCAAGTCCTAATCCAGATGTGGGCTCTGAGTTACAGGTGTAACTCAAAGATACTGACAAGGATTGTACAGATACTGACAAGTATCAGTTTGCAGGGCCATCTTTTCCACCAGCGTTACCAAGTACAGATGTGTTGATACCACCGATGTCTGTTCTGGCATTGATTGAGGTGTAGCCCATCATTCATCAGGAGGTACCCCCATCACACGAATATCTAACTTTCTCTGTTGGAGAGTAGCTAAAGGCTGCTTCCCCTACAACAGGGGCTGCCCTTCAGTAGATTTTTTTTCCAGCAGGACTCTTGGGAACAGACCATTTTTAACCTTTCTACTGCAGAACTGTTCTCTGATTACACATCAGTGCATTCATGTCATTTGCTGGGTCTACCCAAAAGAGCAACCTTCTAGGTTCACGTGGGGGACAGGCTACCAAAACAACTGCAGTGCCACCTCTTCCACAGGGTTAGCTGTCCCATCATGATACCCAAAGCTTGTTCATCTGTACTGTAGGAACAGCGCTGTTTCCTTCTCCAGTAGTGAGAGGGACCACAAACACAGCTGACAACTGAATCCTGTCTTTGAGGATCACGACCATTCTACTTGCAACCATGACTGCAGAATTCAGCTACTCATAACTTGGAGAACTGAGCCTGGATCATGGGGGTTTTTTGCTGCATTATCATAGCAAAGATGGCTTAAAATGGAAAAAAAAAACTTTATTATATACACAAGTACTTTTAATCAGACCCCAAATTAATTTCAGAAATGTGCTGTCACATTCCACAGATGCAAGACATTCTAAAATACCGGAGACCAAACCTGAGCACACATTACTGGCTTCATCTTAAAACACTGTGTATTTTGCTTATTCAAGAAATTAGATGATCCTCTTCTACCCAAAACTTTAGACCTCAAGCCAATATCATCACCTTGTTTTAGAGCTATGATATCCCAGTACAGGTCACAATATTTTTAAGTTGGTTAGTACAGATCATGGTAGAAATTTAAAAAGAGGAAATATAACATTTCTTGAAGAAATCAAAGCTGATTACAAGAGGATCACATACATCACTATTAAATTACACTACTATCTTCCACCAAAAAACCAATCCTCCTTGATAATAGCAGAAAAGTCCATTTGTTTTAGAAAAGCATACATAAAATAACATTGGTACATTTTATTTCAAAAGACTTTGTTGTCTCAACTCTCTAGCAATACTCCAATACAGGTTAAGACTTGTTCATAAAGAGATCAATCACAGGCACGTAGCAAACATTAGAAAGGCATGCCAAGTACAAATCCTCTTTTGAGATTTTTTTTTTTTTAAAGTAAAATGGGAAAAAGTAGGCATGAAGCATTTTTAAAGCACAACTATGTCATTTTTCCTTACTCATCGCAAGAGCTTTTGATCTTGCAACTGGAAAGTAACCTTCACGTTGCCGCGTATGGGAGACACGTTCCTAACTAAACCGAGTACAGATGTATGGAGAGTTTTAGGAGGAAGGCAGATTCTTAATACTTAAATACACATGACCCTCTAAGACCACTTCCATTTCGCTAGTGGCAGTAGCACACTAATTAGAGGAACACTCAGTGACACTAATCAACACTGAACACAACAAAACCGACAGTAACCCCTACTGTGTCCCAAAGTAATCTATAAAAAGGCCTCCTGCATTCTTTAACTGGCTAAATACCAATCTTGTACATGCTTTCACATAGTAAGAGGAACTACTGAGCCACTTTAAACAAGGGTGTAACACATGGATCCTGTACACTAGAACCTTCCAGAAGGATTAAAGAAAAGATAACTGCTGACTGGAACTCAAGGTACATCTGTCCGTATGCATCTTTAGGGCAACTGCACACCGATTATAAGCAGGATGGCAGAATAGGACAAAATGCGGATCTCTGCTTAATTATTAATTTTTCAAATACTTAAAACTTAAGCTTCAACAACGCTTCACAATCTTAAGTTCTATAATGGCTTTAGATATATTTAGAACATTAAATGCCAAGCTCTCAAGGAACTTTAATTAGGATTTTTAAAGATACAGAAACAGAAAAAACAACGTTATAGAGGTCTTGCAGTCCAGGTGAATCTCAGTTAATGAAAACAGACTTAATATATAAACTTATTTCCTAAGGCGTTTTTTTTCATGGGGTTCCCTCCTCCCTCTCCAAAAAAGTTCTCCAGAATGAAATGCTTTTCATTTAGGCTGTGCAAGAATGTAGTGCAGGAAGTAAGGTTTAAGCAAAGCCACTGAACCAATGAACAGTACGCACACACAATCTAGGCACTATTCTTTTCAAAAGTTCTTTCACTTGAGAATATTATTGCTCATCTGCCCACAGTTGTGCTCTTCACACTCACCTCTGAAACACATGGTCAGATTTAGCAGACCACAGGTGAAGGTCAAGGGTCTGATAATTCACACAACAAGAGGAAGTAGGCAGCTTACAGACTTAAATTACTAAATCTCATCTTCTACAAATAAGGACTGCTGCCACCATTTGGGAAGCAATGGTTTCATGGTTCATAGCTGCATTAAGTAGATGTAGGCTCTGAACAGACAATTCAATGAATTTATTTATGCAACACCTTACTCCGGTGTATCAGCTAAAAGAATCAGCTACAACAGCCTAACATAACTATGCACAGCAGTTCCTACATCAAATTGCAGCTTGTGGTTAAGCCCAGATATCACCAAGAAGGCAATCTTGATTTGGAGATCTGAAAGACACAGACTTCACAATATTCCAACAAAAAGAAGCCACCACTCTTTGCAGTCTGAGCTTGCCCAGTCTCAAGTCCTACTAGTGCGTTTTAAAAGTGTTTTCTATTACTAGCTCCCTTTTACTGCCTCGACAATTATGGGCCACATCCTTTACCATTTTTTAACCTATTTTGGAATAGTAAGAAAGACTGAAACCTGACTTCACTGTGAAAACAGGTTTTCATGGCAATAATTTAAACAGTTCTTTCCCAAAGTCTTTCATGTTTTTCAACATTCTTGAAACATGAATATATATTCCAAATAGGCTGAGCTTTAACAAAGACGTTTCAGTGTAAGGTGATAAAACATGAAATTGTTGAAGCCTTTCCTCTAGAACATGCAAAGAAGCTTGGGCTTCTAACAAGGCTAGTTACAATCTTATTGAGGCACTGTTCTAGTTTAAAACACTTCAAGGGCAAAAATTTCTGCTTTGCTTCTAGAAAGATTAAATTGTTTGTTGCCACAACAAATCTCATCTATTTAAACTTCAAATGTGTTACTTCTTATTCCCTCTCCTTTTAATTTTGCCCTTCAAAGGTTAAAACACAAGCAGCACCACTAGAGCATAAAAACCAAGCTACCTATCAACTGCAAGGTTCCTCCTATCAGAAAGGACTTTTAAATGAGGAGGAAGAAAACAAAGGTTTTTCTTAGTTATTCCAAGCAGAATGACTATGGAGAAATGCTCAAGCTTAGGTAGTAAAAGTTAATCGAATGCCATGTGAAATGAAGACTGACTCAGTAACCCATGAGACTTGCTAATCATTTGTTAATCTCCATCTCAAAAACCCACGAGAAGTACTCATGTAATACCAGTGAAATAGGAGAAGATACTGCTTGGTTTTCCTCTTGGGCAGGAGAACAAGCCTTAAATGAGAACGTCAGTTTTTCTGGCATTCAATAAAATGAAAATCACTAAGTGCTACGTACCCACAAAGGATTAATTACTTTAGCATCTATGAATCAGGACTAGGTAAACTTGCAGTACAGCGATTTTATTCTGCTAATGTGCAAGACTTGCGTAAGACTTATTCTTTGGATTTTCATTCTGCATGCTGGTATTTCATGTTTTGCAGCAGGCTTTCCCTCCTCCTCCTCAACACATTATACCTTAACAGCATACAATCTTCTGGAACATCCTTTTTCTGGAACAGTTAAGATCTGTAACACCAGGCAGAATTTGTGGAGAATTGACTGGACACTGGATTCTTACAGGCGGAATTGTCTAGACCAGACAGAGAAAGAAATTGTCATATGAGTGCTCTATAATGCTCCCATAATTGTTGTTAGTGCCATAAAGGTTCATATCTGAATTCAGAAATCTTAAAAAAAAAAAGGTTCAAGTGAGTTAAAATCGAGCATTTCTGTTTAGAAAGGCAAGTCTGAACAGGAAACAAAGTATAGGCACAGGTGATACTAAGTAATAAAGTTTTGTCTATTCTTGATGTTTACATAGGTAGTCATCAGTTCTTTTTTTTTCTGAATGGTATTAGTAAGTCTTAGCAGTAAAGAAACTTTTCCCACTATTCTTATGGTTTCCCAGCTCAGCATGTTTTGAATTGTTTCAGAGAAAATGTCCATGTCTATCTCACAAGGAAGATGAGATCTGTATGTTTCACCAAATGAAGTAATTTCATTCTGTAAAGAGACACGTCTTAAAAGCAGAATACCAAATGCCTACAGCTAACTAAAACCGTATTAAAAGCATGGTGGAACAAACCTATTATAACTTCAGATCACAGCAAATGAATTGCCTGCTAGAAAAGTAGACTAAATCAGCTTTCTGTGGTAACACCCAAACCCCATTACAAAACCCTCCATATTAACCGTTAGTCACAGCAAAACTTTTCACACCAGGGAAAAAAAAAAAAAAGGTTAGTGTAGAGCTTGTTCCCTTCCTTACTTCCACCGCTAACACTACCAGCTTATTGAAGCACTCTGCTTGCCAACATTAAATGCACAGTCATGGCAGAAGCTAACTCACTGTCTTTCCCCTTCACTCAGTGACAGAAGAGAGATGAAATCCCATGCACTTCCTTCAAATGTTTTGGGAGTGCTATGCAAGACTAGATGTTTAACATGTTCTCAGTAATAGCTGCCTTAAGGAGTACAGCTTATTTTAGTCATACCATGCTTAACACTAACATTTCATAGTCACTGCAGTAAATTTTAGAGAAGGTCCAGTTACTTACTCAGCAAACAATTTATGTCTTATCATGCTGCTACTAAGATACACCTACACAAAAGACTTTAAAGCTCTAGTCTTACAGCTACAGGATAAGATCACATCAAGCTAATCTACTGATTAATTAGCTAATACTTCATTATGTAGATTTTCCAATTTATTCAATGAGCAGTGAGCTACACTTGCCACAGAACATTTTAGCCGTTCTTTAGTAAGGCTGTTGTGCTAGTTTAAAACTTAAGCTAAAGCATTTCAGATATCCCAGAAAATATATGAATAAACTTTTATTTCTAAGCAACAACACACACTATTTTCATACAACCCACACATTTAAGTCAGGTGAAGAGTAGTAAATTGAAGAATCATTGCTAAAACATTTCCATTGGAAATGTGTTAAAGTTCACAAGTGTCTTCATTACCACCTTACTGAAGTTTTCTTATGTGTTTCTAGTCTACACACCACATGTTTCACGCAGTCATGCAAATCTGAATCAAATTTTAAATGTTCAGGTAACAGGGAAGTCCATTCACTGCAAAGATTCATTTTTCGCAGAAGAGCCGGGCTAGGTAAGACCAAATACTGCAGGGTTCTTCATAAGAGTACAGGTATTTTAGAAACCATGAACTTTCAGTTGTTCTTCCTTGACAATGCCAATCTAAAGGAGAAAAGCAACATATTTCAGTAAAGCTCACATGCTTAGAATATTACAGTGATATCAAGTTACCACAATCTTATACTTTGATTAAAGAAAGGGCAATACAGTATATACTCAATAAAGCAGTTTTCTAGTTTCCAGAATGTTTCTGGGCCAAGAAGAAGAATTGACTACACAAAAACCAAAATCTTACCAGACATCTGACTTGTTCTGTAGTCCTAGCACTTATTCTTTGACAGTGTAACATCATCTACATCATGATTTGCGTCAGTAAGCTAGTGGTGAAAGACACTTTCCTCTATAGTGTTTTTAGTCTCAGAATTATGGTTTGCATCAAACACTTGATTTTACAAATGAAGAACTCAAGTTGCACAGCCAGAGAACAAGTGGTATGTTGTAGCAGGTAAATGCATTCTACAGTGCTTTCATTCTTAGGGGAGTTTTACTCTCATTCTGCAAGTGTCATTTTACTTTTTGACTGAAAATACAAAGGAACTATAGAGGACATCTTTAGCTGGTTAATTAACATCAGTGCCACCTGTCACTCTATTGCTTCCAGAGAGGTTTATCTATTTATCTGCAGTCCCTCACCTCCAAGAGGAATTGGCAAATGTTCTTCCTCTGGTCACCTTGAAGCTGGATAACTTCACCGTATTCAGGATGTTCAATCACAGTACCATTACAAGCAAATTTCTAGAAAGAAACATTCATATTGTAAGGCATCTGATGTACGTCATGATTTTGCTTACTAAGTCTTTTCAGCAGAATTTTGTCACAGAAGCTGCTTACTAAATTGTGATGCCAAGCAAGGCAAAGGCTAGATCTATTTTATACTGGTTTTGAGAGCAAATGGAATATATCTGCATACAGACACAACTAAGCTGCTGATAGTAAATTCAGGCAAAGACAGGATTAGCTACTGTGCAGAAGGAACTGGCCAACACTCACTACAAGAATGGAAAACAAAGTCATAAGATACAGTCTTTCAACTCCACACTATTTTAAAATATTTTCATCCTGGCAAAACTCCAGATCTCTATTTCAACAGCAACCCAGCTATGATCAGGAATGCAAAAACAGCTCTACTTTAAACTGATTTTATTCTTCACATCAACAAAGCCAGATATCTGTGACATTTTAATGAAACACTCAGAATATATTTTATTTACTTCTTTATAGGAAATAAACATTTAACTTTTTAGCAAAAATCAGTGTCACTAGACACTGATAGAGTTTTGAGAAAGACAGGGAAAGGGATCAACCTGAATACGAAAGTGATGTGCACTGGAATGAATGAAATAAAACAAATATTGTTACTTAGTATTAAAAGCTATCATACTACTTTATATAATGTCTTTATTATTAAATCAAATCTGCAACTTCACCTTTTTGAAAGCTTTCACAAGTTTCTTTTTGTCATAATCGTCTGCAATTCCCTGAACAGTTGTTAGTGTCTTTCTTCCGTTTCGTTGCTGGATCCTTATATGAATGTAATCCTCAGTCCCCGCCGGGAGTAAGTCGTCACCCTTTGTTGCATCAGCAAAGGGGTCTGCAAGAGGAAAAAAGATTTATGTAATTCCCACAAAGGAAAACACCCCAGCTCAAAAAACTAACAGGTAAGTTTCTCACTTCACAAAAACCTTTAGGGGATAATCTTGCTGTTTTCTCCCTGTTTAAAAATACACTGTTAAAATCAAGAGTACTTTTTTCCACAGCTGTATTGTCTCACTAGCCTACTAATTCAGTGTAGCATGCTCAACTATCACACATCCAGTTTCTTCAATGCCTTCCTGGATATAAACAATTTTCAGCTACAGTATCAATTTACTTCACTATTTCTTGCAAACTGTAAATCCTGAAGCTCTGAACCTGAAAACAGGGTTCCGAGAGAACATCAAATACACCTAAGTTTTAGACAGCCACATGCATTTTAAGTGAGATATGGAAGTCATATCTTTTACCAGGTCAACTGATAAGTACAGAAAAATCAAAAAGCTGTTGTACACGCACTCCTTTACAGGTCCAGACAGAAGTCATATACCATGACAACTACCACACTACCAGCATTCTAAGGCATGGATCTAATTCTTGGCTACTAATGTAAACAAAACACAGCAACAGACACTAACACATGTCAGAGGCTGTCTGTAAACCAGGATGCCTCTGCCAGTCAGTAGTTTTAGGCAAGAATTGTAACAAAATTCATTTAGGTTTTGATTATAGAAAGGTCAGTTCTCAAATTCTTCCAAGCTTAAATTTATCTAGCACAGGTGAAACAAGAGGGCATTTAGGAAGAAGGTGGTTTCCGGGTTATACTCCTTATTCTCTATTCTCCACAAAAACACATTTAACACTCACTCCATCAAGAAATTGGATAGCTCTGCCAGTTTCCTAATCAGTAGCTCCAAATAAATCTTGAAGCACGAAGTACTTTAAGTATTTTTTTTTTTAAACAAATCACAAGTAATCAGAATCATACTGAAGAGTCTGATCTTCAGAAAGTGTAGGTTCAACAGCCATGCAAGAAACAATTTCCCAAACTTCCATCCAAAACACTGATCCAAGTTTTGCCATCCATCGAAACAAATGCCCCAAAAGAGTAAAACTTCAGCAGAAATAGGAACAGAAGTAGTTCAGCTGCAGACAGATTGACCTTTATAGAAACAAGAATGACAATAGCATTAAAGGCACTGAAAGCGTCATGAAGATGCAAGCACCACAGGAAAGAAGTACAGCACTGGGAAGCTTGAATGGCTTAATTTCTATTAAGGCATTTGTTAAAACATGCTGAATTTCACTATGCCCCGCACCTTGTGGGGCAAACACTAACAGAAAACTTCAGTCAAAGAAAAGGTGAAAGAAAAAGGGGACTCAGACATGAAGATCACTTGGCAGAGTTTAGGATTCTAGGTCGGAAATTAAGCCAGCGCTGTAGGTGTTAACATCGGATTACTTCAAACAAATCCTTTGGGCAACACCTTCCTAAGCAGAGGATCAGCTCCCAAATCATGATTAACATAACCTTCTCATATGGCTTATATGTGCAGAAGATTAGAGACAAAACTGAGACCAAAAGCCTAACAACATTATCGTATAAAGTGTTGACTTGCTCACTTCTGTTGCCTATAGATAAGGAAGGTGGAGAACCATGGCCCAGCACAGTAAACTTCCCTGCTAACATAAGAGAAATGACCTACCATCTGTATAGCTCAATCTGTAGAAACAATACCCTTTGCAGGGCATATATCAGGTTTTGGGACATTGGTAAGGATAAGACACAGTAAATCACCAAGCAATTGTAACCGAGGAGATGATTCCCTTCCTTAGGAGAGGATATGAACCCTAGACTCCCTCTGCCCACAAAGATTACAACTTTGGGACTGCAGAGTTGACAGAAAAGCCCAGTTTGGGGTGCCACCAGACATTCAGGCAAACAGCGCAGTATGAGGTGTCAGAGCACAGTACATGGCAGCACCTCCTACGGGAGCGGAAAGGGAGGAAACAGAGAGGGAGATGAGTCTCGTACCCGATGTCTCTCCGCTGCACACACAGTGCACGTCCCGAGGCCAGCGCCACGGGAGGACAAGGACGAGCAGACAGAGCCGTCTTTAGAGAGTAACGCGGGCAGCGCCGGGGATGGCACCAGCCGCTCAGCAACGGCTTCGATGTCGCCGCGGGGTGGTGGGGGCACAGACGCACCGGGGGCTCTCGGGAAAACGGGGGCAGGACGATGCCGGGGGACGGGGGCGGCGGGCCGGAGAGCG